TCGGAGAACCAGACTATACAAATACTCCAAGGATCATTCTGTTTTTGACGTTCCTAAAGATTTCGTACGTTTCTGAAAGCAAGAGTTTTCCACTACGAATAAGAAGCTCTTGTCTTATAGCGGATTAAGTGAATTGGTTGCACTGCGAAGTGCAAACGCACTTTGCCTTCATAGGCGCTCATTTTCCCGATGCAGGAGATTCAGCACACATTTCGCCTCATTCCGCAAGCCACGTAGCTGCTCCTTACACTGGTACTTCCGGACGCTCCTCCATGTAATAAGTAGGAAGTTCCCTTTTTGACCCAGCACTCTACTCCTTTTTCGCCTAGTTCCTTGTTCCAGCAAGGAATGCTCGCCTGACTTCAAGCTGAGGAGCGCAGCTCTTTTTCCCAGATTTAAGTGTATTACATGACTACACTGATTGAGCCAAATGAATTTCAGGGCACCTTTCTTCCAAAGACCCTTTAATCCGCTGTTTCATCTTCGTGTTTCTTTTCATTACTGAAGCAGCTGACAATTCCTTCATTCTCTGGGGCCTCCCTCACAGAATCCCGTACATATCGCACTGTCATCATAGTACTTTTTCTGGGCCTCTTTTCTAATTCGTAGGTTGTTACGCTTTTACCGAACAGTTTTTCGAGTTCAAAGCACTGCTTGCTTTAACTGTCTACTTTTCTTGCAGCTGAGTATGCGAATCACTTAGTGGAGTAAACAGGATGAGCCAAGGATGCGCGGCAGAAGCGGTAAGTGGAGTTTTGGTCAGTGCGGCCTCGCCAGTTCAAGCAGAGTGCTGTGAACTCGGTATATTTCGCATCCAGTAAGTTTTTTTTTTTTGTCACATAATCTTGAGTTAGTTCTGTTTTATCTGAATTCCGGAAGAGAGGCAGTATCGTCTAAACAGCACTGATCTGTTTGAAGAAATTTTGAAGTGTTCAAACTGACCAAAATTGATAGATTCCGGCAGAAAAATGAGAAAACTGATATCAGGTGTGACGGCCATCACATTTCAAAATGAGGGGCTTTTGCATTCATTAGTTGTTTGTGAGAACTGTGTCAAGCAGTCAGACAGACATACGTCCAACGACTACGGGGGAGCTATCTCTTGAAAATAATGAGTTTTTTTTGTACTTTTAAGCTTTACTGACTACAAGCTTCATCTTTGTTCAGTACCAGTAAAAAGTTGAAGTTTGTGATCAGTAAAGCTGAA